CCTCAGTTGAGTAATTTCATAAAGGAATTCAATTATTTCAATGGCTTTATTCTAGGAGTGTATTAGACACATAGAAGACACAGAAAAGATCCATTAGCCATTTACCCTCTTCCCTGCTAAGACAAGAAACTGAAATGGCACTATGAGCTAAATTCTGTTCTTGGCCATTTGGCAGATATCAAATGGTCATTATGCTGTAGGTTTCCAGGAAAAACACAGTGGAAATAAAACAACACTTTCCCCAAGATATTTAAAATATCTATATGGTATTTTACCCACTCTAACTTGTATTCAACACTACAGGGAGGAGAGAAACAGTTTATCTTGGTGCAAAAGTTATTGCGGTTTTTGCCATTACTCTCAGTGGCAAAACCACAATAACTTTTGCACCAACATAACATTTCCATTCCAACGTAAAACTTGCCATTGAGAGTAATGGCAAAACCCTCAATAACTTGTGTATCAACCTAATATTTCTTTCCAGGAGGATGAGATAGGTCTTTTAATACATGAACATAAATTTCTTGTTTGTTATTTAAAAACAGAAAACATCAAAAATGTCTTCAGCAAAAATGTAATTTTTCTCTTCATTTTATTTCTTCTTGAAACGTTGAGACATTTTGAATGTGATGTGAAATACCTGGCTATAATTGATTTGATCTAAAGGTTGCTGTTATATTGAAATCAAAATTTTTATAATCAGAATATTAATTCTCTTTACCACCCCGGCTCTTTATATAGACTTTTTATTCCTTGCCTGCTAGAAGCTAAGTGTTCACATCTAAACTATTTTCATTATGTCATAGCTGCCTTATGAAGGCTGTCCAAACATGAAAAATCAAATCATGAATTACCTCCATTAAAATCTGAGTCATGTTGGGAAGAGTTTAGGATGGCAGTCAAGTCTATTATAGAAACTGTGTAGTGCTGCATGGAGATGCTGGAATATATTTAGGGCAGCAAAACATGTCCAATGCATCAGTCACAGTCCTGGCAGGAAGCAGATGGCATACTCCAATTTGGTAATTTGAGTGGAGTTTTAAAAAGAGACTATTCACAAATGTGTGAGCAAAGTTTAGGGAAACGATGAGAATTGGTGGTGCACCCTGAAGCTAGTAATCACTGAGTCATTGCCATTCTAGGCCTGAAGGACAAGGAGCGGAGCAGTTACTCCACTGTTATGGAGAAGGCTGCCAAACTGGAGCTGTGGCCTTCCATTGAGGGACATGGCCAACTCACCATGACTCAGCACAGAGAGAGCCAAGGAACAAATACTCTGACCTCACCCTCTTACCTCTCTCTAGTCTCCTGCCAGTGCCCCCATTAACTGCACCCAATCAGGGACCAGAGGACAAGGAAGCCTATTGATGCATCCATAGAGGCCAGTCTCCCAAAGCACAGAGGAGGATGGAGAAGGGTAGAGGGTAGATGTGGGCAAACAGAAAATAACCAGTACCGTCAGTTTAATTCAAAACATGTTTCTTAAGCACTGAACTCTGTATCATACTCTGAAGGAGACAGTTACCATTTTGTAACTTTTTTTTTAATAAGCACATAATTTTGCCATAGAAAATAATGGGTTCTCTGCATTCATGGAGGTAAACTGGGTGTGTTATGTAGAATCATGGAATTTCCAAGCTGAAGGGGACCTAGAGGTTATCTAATGAGTCCCTCTCATACAACAAGAATATTTTTAAACAAGTCTTAGAGAAAAAATCACTATGTTTATGCCAAGTACGAAAACCTTTTAATAGCTGGAACTCCTGACTATTTTTTGCTAATAGTAAAACCCTAATTTATAGAAAATCAGTTGGCAACTCCGGTTTGAGAAGGGTGGATACTATAAGCATTCCTCCTTTCTCTTAGAAACCACTCAGTAGACCACACAAAACACATATGGTATCAAGGCAGTGAGAGTTGGTAGGAAAGCTGGCAGAAGGGGTTGCAGATCTCAAATGAGGCTGGTGCACTCCAAGTTAAAGGGCTTGGGGGAGGGGGTCACAAAGCCAAATCCTAAACAGAGGTGCAGCATGTGGAAGACAGAGCTGAATGAAGATGGGGACAATTCTTGTATTTGCAGGAAGCAGTCTGCCAGTGAACATGGAAGGAAGACTGCATTGACAACAGCCTTCCAGCTGCCTAGTTTGGGGCTTGGGAGAAGTAAAGGCTAAAGCAATTCACTCACTCAACCCAGACCATCAAACTCTTTCCAGCCAGGAAACTGCACTCTACTAACATGCACCTCTTGCATGTAGTTCATGTGAGAGAAAGTGAGACAACTGATCAAACGTGAGCTGGTAGCACTTCAAAAAGAAGTGAAAGGAAAAAAAAAAGCATCAAAGACATAAAGGAAAAACCGGAAGCAGTCCGTGAAAGGACACTAAAGAACACTCAGCAAGGATCATGAAGAGCAGGAACGAAAACAATGTGCAAAATAGAGTTTAAAATAATTAGACAGAATAAGTTATAATTTTAAATATGGAGGTCACAGTAGGACTCATTGAGAAAATGTTTTGAGCTCCAAAGCAGAGGTACCTGGGTGCATTTGAGGAGCAGCAGTGTTACTTGGGGGCATAGATACTCATAGGAGGTTATCTCATTGTGAAGTCTGTACCTTAACATTCTAAACTCCCCTTCCTGGTTTTGTGTGTGTGTGTGTGTGTGTGTGTTTTTTTTTCTCTGAATTTAACTTTATCATAATCTTGGCTTTATTGGTGTTTATATTTGCCTGGTGTGTCTTTGCCCATCTTTTAAAACTTTTTGAATCAATTCATTTTAGGTGTGTCTCTTACATAGAGTACAGAGCTGAGTTTTAATTCATCCAGTTTCAATATCTTTGTTTATTCACAAATGATTTTAGTACATTTATAATAATTGATAGGTCAAATATGTTCATCTTAGTGCTGTCATTTTGTTTTCTCAGTTCTTATCTTACTTGACCAAGCATCAACATATGGCACAACCCTTTAATTCAGATTCTTCGCTTGCTTCTAAGACACTGCTCTTCCCCTTTTTCTGGGTTCACCTTCCATCTCATTGGCCAGTATTTCCTAAGTTCCCTTGCTATTTTCTCCTCTTCTCCCAACTTCTTACTACTGGAGTTAATGACTGAGGCTCATCTCTTGGTCCTCTTCCCTTCTCTAACTGCACTCACAACTTTGGTGAGCTCAACCAGTCTCATAGCATTAAATATCATCTTTGTGTTAATAACTTGCAAATTCTTACCTCTAGCTTCCACCTTTCTCCTGAATGTCAGAGGCCTATTTACTGATTCAGATTTCCAAGAGGCATCTCAAAACCCCAAGTATCCATCACAGGGCTCCTGAATTTCTCCCAAATCTGCTTTTCCTATAGTTTTACCTACCTCAGTTATCAGTTGACTCTCCTTTCTCTCATACTTTACATCTCATATGTCATCAATTTCTGAAAATTCTACCTTCAAAATATTTCTAAAATCTAACTGCTTCTCATCACTTCTGCTGCTACCACTGTGGTACAATCAATCCATCTCTTGTCTCAAAGATTCTAATAGCCAGCCTCCATCCTTGTGTCTCTGCTGTGTATTTCAACACAGAACCCTGAGTGATTCTTTTTAGATCTAAGTCTGAATAATGTTGCTCATCTGCTCAGAATTTCCCAGTGACTCCCTATTTCTCTCAGAATAAAGGCTAAATAAGGAAACCTATTAACAAAACTCACAATCACTAAGAAAAAATATCACATGACTATCTCCATTGATGATGAAAAGGCATATAATAAAATTCAGCATTTGTCCTTAATAGGTAAAGAATTTCAATGAAATAAGAATTTCAATGAAATAAATTCTTAACGATAAAATATGTTTATCTCAAATCCAAAGTCAATCTACTCCTTGCTGAGTAAACACCAAAAACATTTTCTTAATACCAGAAATTAGAAAGGAGGAAAAATAATTGTTATCTTCAGATTCTTTTTTTTTTTTTTGTAGTATCTGGAGTCAAGCATAATTTTTTTTATTGCATTTTATGTTTTGGGGTACATGTGAAGAACATGCAAGATTGTGGCATAGGTACACACATGGCAGTGTGATTTGCTGCCTTCCTCCCCTTCACCTATATCTGACATTTCTGCCCACGCTATCTCTCCCCACCTCCCTACCCCCCGTCCCTCCCCCATTTTTCCCCAACAGACCCCAGTGTCTATTGCTCCCCTCCCTGTGTCCATGTGTTCTCATTGTTCAACATCCGCCTATGAGTGAGAATATGCGGTGTTTGATTTTCTGCTCTTGTGTCAGTTTGCTGAGAATGATGGTTTCCAGGTTCATCCATGTCCCCACAAAGGACATGAACTCATCATTTTTTTTTTTTTTTTTTTTTGAGACAGAGTTTTGCTCTTGTTACCCAGGCTGGAGTGCAATGGCACAATCTCGGCTCACTGCAACCTCCGCCTCCTGGGTTCAAGCAATTTTCCTGCCTCAGCCTCCCTAGTAGCTGGGACTACAGGCGTGCGCCACCATGCCCAGCTAATTTTTGTATTTTTAATAGAGACGGGGTTTCACCATGTTGACCAGGATGGTCTTGATCTCTTGACCTCGTGATCCACCCGCCTCGGCCTCCCAAAGTGCTGGGATTACAGGCGTGAGCCACCGCGCCCGGCATGAACTCATCATTTTTGATGGCTGAATAATATTCCATGGTGTATATGTGCCACATTTTCCCTGTCCAGTCTATCATCGATGGGCATTTGGGTTGGTTCCAGGTCTTTGCTATTGTAAACAGTGCTGCTATGAACATTCGTGTGCACGTGTCGTTATAGTAGAATGATTTATAATCCTTTGGATATATACCCAGTAATGAGATTGCTGGGTCAAATGGAATTTCTATTTCTAGGTCCTTAAGGAATCACCACACTGTCTTCCACATTGGTTGAACTAATTTACACTCCCACCAACAGTGTAAAAGTGTTCCTATTTCTCCACATCCTCTCCAGCATCTGTTGTCTCCAGATTTTTTAATGATCACCATTCTAACTGGCGTGAGATGGTATCTTCAGATTCTATGACTGTAAACTTGGAAATCCTGAAGAACCAACTACTGTTAGATGAATTCCGGTCCCCTGCTGCGGGGTCCTCGCTCACGGCCGGGTGGCAGCCATTGTAGTGGAAGAAAGTCGAGTCTGCAGCAGACGAGAGGCGCCATAATGCTCCAGTATTATGAGGACAAGCTGGAGGGCAGCGCGTATGCATACCCGAAGGAGGACCTGGGCATGTGTCTGCTGCTGTCGGACTGTGGGGTCCAGGAAGGAAAATCTCCTCGGCAGTGTTTGAAGGAAGGATACTGCAAAGCTTTGAAATACTCATTTTTTGAGTGTAAAAGATCAATGTTGGATACCAGGGTAAGATTCAGAGGAAGACAGGATATTTATACATTATGTTGAAGCCAAGATGAAAAACAACAAAGAATTTTCTCTGGTCATTAAAACAAAGAAGCCAAAACAAGAAACATGCTTTTTACTACATCTGTTTGGTTGGACTAGTTTTTGCCTCCATGGCACACTGAAGAAAATGGATGAGTTCTGTTTTTGAATATGTATAAAGTAAATGATTCTATTGATCCAAGTTATTTTTAGAAGAAAAACCTAATTGAATAGTTATGGGTTGGGAGCATAATAAATGTGTTTTGAGAATTGTTCTAAAGCACAGAGAATGGAAAGATTGTTATTTGCAAACTTGACTCTTCAATTAAATTACACAATTTTTACAGGCAATTCATGTGACTGACAGTTGATAACATGGAGCCTGTCCAGAAGATGACTATTGGGAAAGTTTAGGATAAAAGTTTTTCTTTTGTTCAATCTTTCCTGTCTAAAATAAATAGTGTTTGTTTGATTTCTTAGAGAAGAAAAAAACCTAACTACTATAAACTATGAGATTTTATTCTGAGTATAATATTAATATACAGAAATTAATGATATATTATATATACACATATATATACATGCAACAACTAATCAGAAGATATAATGGAAGAAACAGTTTCTTTAGCAATGGGAAAGATAAATTACCTAGAAATAAACTCTACAAGAAACGAGCAAGATTATGTAAAGATGTATAGAGGTTGGAGTCCTAAAAACAATATCAGCCTCTCCAGTTAGGTGTATTCTTTTGGTATCAGGCAGGTGGAGGTTAGGAAACCATCCTCATGTGGCTCTGGACGCCTTCCCCTGAATAGGAAGGTTGTGGCTTCTTTGTCACAAGTTTCAGACCTTATTCTTCACTTCCTGGGTGTTAAGAAGCATTAGTGACTCTGGCAGCTTCTTGATCAAACTCAGAAATCCCCAGATCACAGATTAAGGTATCCACATACAGGCCATGGCTGTGATTCCAAGCCTAGCCTGGCTCCAGTGGCCTCAGACCCAGCAGCTCCCTTGGTAGACCAGCCCAGTAGAGTTGTTCACTTCAAGATGTCCATCCCAGAGCTGCTACTTCAGGCCTTCCACAGAATTTGTAAGAACTTAGTTCTCTGTATTAAATATCTTCCTGTGTAAAATACACAGAGTGATTTCTGTTTTCTGCACTGAAATTTGATTGACAAGTTGGTATTGGAAGTGGTTGTAGAAATTAGACCCTGAAACTAGGAATCTGGGACTGACTGATTTTGAAGACCATGGTGGATGGTGGCCTTGTCACTTAGTGGAAAATGGGATGCTGTGAATCTAGGCACAAAGAATAAAAATTAGGTACATTATCACCTTGGATGAGCAGTGAAATTACGTGGTCACCTTGGATGAACAGTTTACTGACAATTAGTCTTCAGTGGCTGCTACTTAGATGGTTATGAAGGGAATGAGAGATACAGGAACAGCTAGGTGGGTGGGTGAGTTGACTTTTCTGACTGTATTGTAGAGTTTAAAGAAAGAGAATGAAGTATTATGAAGATTCAAAAATTAAAATCTTATGAGTCTTGTATATAGATAAACCAATGGATTGATGGTACAGAAAAGTTCATAAATAGGAAATTTAGTATATGATAGTCATGGCATTTAAAATCAGTAGGGTAAAGATGGATTATTAATGAAATGGAGTTGGAAAAATATATAGCTATTAAGATATAAAATTGGATCCACTCCACTTACCGCACATGAAAACAAATTCTTGATTGGTCAAATTTTTAAAGAACATAGCATCATGAGATGTGAAAAACAAATCATGGAAGGATTTAAAAAATAATTGAGGCCAGGCATGATGGCTCAAACCTATAATCCTAGCACTTTGGGAGGCCGAGGCAGGTGGATTACTTGAGGTCAGGAGTTTGAGACCAACCTGACCAACATGGTGAAAACCCATCTCTACTAAAGATACAAAATTTAGCTGGGAATGGTGGTTCATGCCTGTAGTCCCAGCTTCTTGGGAGGCTGAGGCAAGAGAAGTGCTTAAACCCGTGAGGCGGAGGTCACAGTGAGCCAAGATCACGCCACTGCACTCCAGCTTGGGCAACATAGCTAGACTCCATTAAAAAAAAAAAAGTAATTGAAGAGAGGTGGAGATCTTTCTAAGTATGATACAACCCAGAAGTAGTAATAGAAAATTTGGTAAAATTGACCAGTTAGAAAAAGTTTTCTTGGTCAGTAAACAAAAACAAAAACAAGCAAACAAACAAAATAGCGTAAGAGAAATAAAAGGACATGACAAACTGAGGAAAAGTTTTGACATTCATAAGAAAAATGACTACTCTTACTATTATATAAAGAGTTTCTATACTTAGTAGAAAATTAGACAATGTATATTCATAGATAGTTCACAGAATAGGAAATACAAATGTCTCTTTAACCTGAGAAGATGCTCTCAACCTCCCTCTTCACAAGAAAAATACGAGTTAAAACATTTTTTCATTAGATTGACAAGTTCCATTTCTGACCAAAATAGACTAAGTCCATTGCTGCCCATGTCTCCTACTGATAGGTCACTACTAAAACCTCTAGATAATAAAGAATAACTACCTAAGGACTCTGAAAAGTAAATAATAGCAGGCAGATTGGGCAGGGAACTCAAACCTGAAGAAAGACTGATACAGGAGTGGTGAGATTCCTGTTTTTATTTTTTTCTCCTCTACTTCTTCGCTTTGATTTGAAGACAGAATGATTTGGGAATTGTCAACTAGACACTATCAGCAAAACATCAGAGAGAAGCCTGACCATGTAGCCACAGGACCAGAAAAAAAGGCTGCTGCAAGCTAGAGACAGTGGGAGAAACTGCTGATTGCTCTTTTCTTTCCCTCCCTTGTCCTGAAGCCATTCCCAGTCAGGGAGCTGCCTTGCAGTGGTACAGTGACATGGTCACCTGGGAGAAAACCTATCCTTCTGGACGGAGGAGTTGGGAAAAGGAACTCTTGGAAGCCAGAGAGAACATGGAGGAAATCCCCCAAAAAAGACAAATGGAGAAAGGAATCCCTAATTCTGTGTAATTGTTTGACATGTAGTCATAGGTAATGGATACAATAGTTCCCCTTAGCCACAGTTTCTGTTTCCATGGTTTCAGTTACCTTCAATCAACTGAGATCGGAAAACATTACATGGAAAATTCCAGAAATAAACAATTCATGTTTTAAATTGTGTGCCAATCTGAGTATTGTGATGAAATCTCGCACTGTCCCACTCCATCCCTCCTGCATGTGAATCATCTCTTAGTCTGGTGTATCCATACTGTAGGTCCTTGTATTAGTCCATTCTCATAATGCTATAAAAAAATAACTGAGACTGGGTAATTTATAAAGCAAAGAGGTTTAATTGGCTCTTGGCTTTGCAGGCTGTACAGGAAGCGTGATGCTGGCATCTGGTTGGCTTCTGGGAAGGCTTTAGGAAACTTACAAGTGAAGGGGAAGCAGGCATTTCACATGGCCAGAGCAGGAGCAACACAGAGAGAAGAAGATGCCACACACTTTTAAACAGCCAGATTTTGTGAAAAGTCACTCACTATTTTGAGGACAGCACCAAGAGGATGGTGCTAAATCATTCAGGAGAAATCTACTCCCATGATCCAATCACCTCCCACCAGGCCCCACCTCTAACACTGGAGATTACAATTCAACATGAGATTTGAATGAGGACACAGATCCAAACTACATCAATGCTACATATCTGTTAGTCACTTAGTAGTCATCTAGGCTATTAGGTTAAAAAAAAAACATAAATATACAGGGTTCAGTACCGTCTGTGGTTTCAGGCATCCGGTGGGGGTACTGAAATATGGATAAAGGGGACTACCATATAGGGATCTATGTCATTAACTCAGGTTTGCCGTTTATGTCATCCAACAATTTACCATACTTAACAGAAATGTGTTAAGTTTTAATATGTTAATAGTGGAAATGAAATAAGATTATCCATGAGAAAAGGACTTTTATGTTTCCATTCAATTTTTTTTCCTAATTCCTCCAGTCACATAAATATAAGAAAATGAAATTATATGAAGGATGGCCATAAGTTCAAGGATAAGAAGATAGGAAGAATACAATTTAAAAACAAAAGTCTAATGAGTAATTTATGTCTAAACTTATTGAAGTTCATAAATAATTTATCCTGATTTTCAGAAGAGAGAGAGAACCTCTGGATATACCCACACAGGACCTGCAAAAAGACAGCTGCACAAGAACTGGTTAATAATGTTGTGAGCTGACACGCTAGCATCAGTGGTCTAGAAAGAATGACAAACTGCTCCTACCAAGTAATTAGTCTTCTGCTCCTTTCTTTAGTCTCCCTGCCTCCTGCCTGGAACCTGGTAGACCCAGAGAAGGGTGGAGAATAAAGAGCAGACCAGCCTTCTCCCCACTGTAGTTCGTTAAGGCATCGATCTGGTCAAAGCTGGATGTACGGAGGCAGAAAGTGTCCATTCATTTTTTTATTTTTCATTTCAGGTTATTGTTTGTCTACTATGGACCTAACACTGTTCTAAACATTGGGGATAGAGTAATCCTCCATTATCTGCGGGAGATACATTCCAAGATCCCCAGTGGATGCTTGAAACTGAGGATAGTATAAAACTCTATGTACACTATGTTTATTCTTTCCTATATAAACATACATACATACAGATGATAAAGTTTCATTTATAAATTAGGTACAGTAAGGGATTAACAACAATGAATAATAAAATAGAACAATTATAAAAACAGACTGTAATAAAAGGTGAATATGGTCTCTCTCTCCCTCTCTCTCTCTCTCTCCAAATATCTTATTGTTCTGGCCTCACCTATTTTCAGACTGTGGTAGACCCTGGGTAACAAAAAACACTTAAAGCCAAACTGCGGATAAGGGGGAACTACTGTATATCAATGGACAAAACCGGCAAAAATCCCTGCCCTTTGAAACTTACATTCTAGGGAGAGAGACTGACAATAAATGTAACAACATAAAATGTTAGAAGTCAGTAAGTGTGGGGCAGGCGTGGTGGCTCATACCTGTAATGCCAGCACTTTCCCAGGCCAAGGCAGCTACATCACCTGAGGTCAGTCGCTCGAGACCAGCTTGGCCAACATGGTGAAACCGTCTCTACAAAAAAATACAAAAATTACCTGGGCGTTGTGGCACACGCCTGTAATCCCAGCTATTTAGGAGGCCGAGTCAGGAGAATCGCTTGAAACCAGGAGGCAGAGGTTGCAGTAAGCCGAGATTGTGCCACTGCACTCCAGCCTGGATGACAAA